TTATTTGTTTATTTAAAATTCCTTAACTGCTCAACTTGTCTTAACTTAATTTTTTGAATAATTAATTAATTTATTTATAACTCAAGATGGAAGGAGCAATAGAAATACGAATAGCTTTTACTAAAAAGAAGTCACTCCTATGCTCGTTTAAAGTTTGGAAAAAATTGTTGAAGGTATGTGTTTAAAGCACGGCTCTGTAAGAGTGTGAAACATGGTCGGGGTGCACGGCGGAAAAAAACTGTTAGAAGCGTTCGAAATGTGGTGTTACAGGCGAATGATGAGGATACCGTGGATAGAGAAGGTTAGAAATGAAGAGGTATTAAAAAGAATAGGCGAACAGAGGACTCCATGGAAGTCAATATGAAAGCAAGGTCTAGTCAGAGACATATTAGAGGCAGACACGGAAGTTACGAGGGGTAGAGGTGGACCTAGATTAGACTACTGTTCGCAAATAGTTAAAGATGTGGAATATTCTAGTTTTAAGGAAATGTGAAGATTAGCTCAGGATAGAAAAGAGTGGAAGTTTAGTATCTGTTTAAGAATAATAGTTGCATTGCCACTAAATTCTTCGTTCATAGATTTTTAACGTCTTATACCTGCACTAATATTCTTTTTTTTAATTTTTAATAAACAGTGAATTGTAGTTGATAGACATTTTTGATTAGGTAATATTTATATTTGAAAGATTGTTTAAGTGTTGTTTACTGAGTTATCAACAAGGATTTTGCCGTAGTACTGTGTATGCACCCGGTAGAACGCATCGTAGAAATTTCTTTCGGAGACTTCAACGATGCGTCAAGCGAGTAACCTGATTGTGAAGCATTTTTATCCTAAAGTATGAGCAGCCTTTCTTGTTGCCATGTTATGAGTGAAAGCTAACTTCAGTATTGAAAAGCTTGATTCAGAAAATATCTGCTTTAGACGCCTATTTGAAGATAAATAAATAGATAAATTTATATGTACTAAGTTTCGTAATTGTATACCGTATGTATTTGCAAACTGAAAAGTAACAATGAGATACAAAGTAGGTTTCACTTACAGAATAAGTGAAAAAGTCCTTTATTGTCTTTTTAATTTTGATTTTTGTACGTAAATTGTTAGGTCTATGTAATTATGACATTATAGAAATCAAAATAAAAATGCGTTTTTCAATTTGAAGTCATTGTAAAACGTTTAATTTTACTTTCCTTTTTGAAGGTTATTTGAGTTAAAATTAAAAATTGGTTGGTTTGTAAGGGATGTACAAGTAGCATTAGAGCAAATATAAAATTAGGAGATAAAAAAATAGAAGTTGCCAGTTTTAAATATTAGGTAGTAAGATAATCCAGGATAGAAAAAGCGTAAGAGATATAAAACAAAGAAAAACCAGGGTCGTGTCGTTTTTAACAAAAAGAGAGATCACTTTTGCGCTGGCGGTGAGTTAATTTGGATAATTTAGAATAATTACACAGCCATACAAAAAAAAATCGAAAAAAAAAAAATAAAAAACAATGCATACTCCACGTTTTTGGGGCAGCTGCATCTAAATCCGCAGTTAATTTAATTCCAGCACGTTAGATGGTCAGACAGAATCTCAAAAAACACTCCAAAATCTTCTAGAACCGTTAATCATGATAATCCCTAATGATAAACTTCATAATCCTTGAAATTCCTAACAATAGAACCTAATGACCCTATAACCCTGTATCACCGTAATCAAAATACTGAAACAGTATCATCCAATTTCTCACCGTGAAGCTATTCGTGGTGTAGATTTCTCAAAATTAAAACAATATTCTGATGGATATTAAATATTAATGTATACCGCGAGGAGGTAACTTCAATTGTATGAAATCTACGTTACAAACAGTTTCATGGCGACAGATTAGGCAATAGTGTTTCAATATTTAGATAATAGGGATATAGGGTAATGGGATTATATTGTTTCATGCTTACGGGTTTAAAAGATTATGAAGTTCTATATTTAGTGGAAGAGTTGCTTGGCAACGGGTTTTAAGTTTAAGTAAAATCGTTTGAATTAGCATAGTTAACGATTTTAATTTGTTTTTTGAGGTTATGACCAAACCTTGACGTCCTGGAATTCAATTGACTTCAGATTTGATTTTTGTTTTGTATGGCTGTACTACCGTTCCCAGTTTCTCAATTAGTTAGAGATATAATAAAATAATTCGAAGTGGTCTGTATTCTGTCGAAACTTTCGATCTTTTTGGATCTCATCAGCGCGTCGCAGGCAGCTCCGACAGAACTCAGACCAACCTTTACCTGCTGTCTTAACAGCGCGTTTTAGATAATACCACAAATGGCGTGGTGAGCGCCATCTGTAGTACGATGCTACATTTTAGGATTACGTATGCTCCAACAAGGTCCATTTAAATATATGGATATCTACTTGCTGAAANATAGGTGCGTCAAAAATACAGAAAACATCATTTTTCTGACAATAAAAAACCCTCTCTCGCTTTCTCATATGGTTCAGAATAGCCTTTTTCTACAGCCTTCCTGCTCCTTATGGAGCTATGTGGTTTATGGACAGACCCTCAGTCTTTTGATCGTGTTTGTAGAATTTTTAGACACTATCATTACGGAAAAACATAAATATCTATACTGTCGTCTTGCCTATTCCAGCCAAGGTAATGAATCCAAAAGTCGTCAAAACTGCATGGGTGTTCATAGATTGCTCCCTATCTTCTGTTGTCTTATATTCTCGCCATTTGAGGTTTTTTCCGTGGTATTCTGTCATGTAATACGCCACTAGTCCTGTCGCGGTAAGGAAAAGTACAAAAGAGAGAAAGGCCACACAAATGAAATTTAAACCACTGCATGTGCCAAAACAAGATGACCTTCTGTAATGTGTCTGACATTTGTTCGAACTTTCAGAACTTCTGAAATCAAAAGGAAAACAGTATTTTTATTATGAAACTATTTGTGACGTAGATTTCAGTATTTTGATTACGGGGATATAGGGTTTTGGGGTTATATTAGATTTTAGGGGTAAAGGTTTAAAGGATTGTAAAGTTATACATTTAGTGTATGTAAGAGTTGATTGGTTACGAGTTTCAAGTTTAAAATCGTTTGGGATTATCATGTTTTCATATATTTAGGAGTGTTTATTGAGGTTATGTCCAACTCCTCACGGGCTAGAGTTATATTGAGCGTGGATTTGGATTTAGCGACTCCAACCATCATACGGATTACATACTCAGACGCCCAGGTCGAATTTTTTTCTTTTTAACGGGTTTAGTTGATTTGTTGCTTTGTAAGGTTGAACATAATTGCAGTTGGAAAACTGTATGTGATTGCTAAATATCAAGAATGTGAGAGGGTATCGGCGTCTGTAGTATTTTCTGTTAAATGTACTTTTTGTGATGTTTAATATTATCTCTATAAAGAATGTCTTATCATCATAAGGTTGTCAGCCCTAAGACTGGTTGGACACGCACCTCCACTCCTATCCTGAGCTAATCTTCTCATTTCCCTAAACCTAGGACAACCCACATCCTTAACTATTTGCGATCAGTAATCTAATCTACGTCTACTTTTACCCCTCCTAACTTCCGTTTCTGCCTCCAATATGTCTCTGACTAGACCTTCAAGCCTGAGAAGGTTTCCTACTAACCTATCTTGCCTATTTCTTATTGACTTCCTCTCTTTTCCTAGTCTTTATCCTCTATCCATTGTATCCTCATCATTAGCGTGTAACACCACATTTCGAACGCTTTTAACCTTTTCTTTTCTGCAGCGCCCATCGTCCATGTTTCGTCCAACCTTTTTCGAATTTCTAAATTAACCTTTTGCGAGCCCAGAAGTGACTTTTCTGACTCGACCCTGCGTTATCATCTCTTTTATATCCCTACTATTCCTTCCGTAAAGTAAATTCACGGGAAACAATGTATAAATAAGGTACATTAAGTTGCTAGCCATTGTTATAGAGATGACTGGAAATGAAGGGTGGATTTTGGAAAGATTTTGACAGTTGTGTGTGATATTTGAAGGTCTTTTTAGAGACATATTAGAGGCAGGAGCAAAAGTGGAGGGAGGCATAGATGTGATTACTGTTTGAAAAGGGTTAAGGTTAAGATTCTAACTTTAAGGAAATACGGAGATTAGTTCAGGTTAGGAATGAGTGAATGTCTATCAGTTTTCGATCTTGTTCAGGTGTAATAACGAAAATGATCTCACAAATAAATTCCATTTCCTTGTTATTAAGAACTTACTATTACTATTTTTAGTTTAAATGTCTAACAATTTCGGATAATTTCTTTTAACATTTTCGGAATGTGCATTCTAGCAATAAAATTTTTTGAATGTTGATTTCCTAATTTCCTTTTGATCCTTCCCCTGTCTATCTATCGTATTATTATGGTACTTCATGGTAGGTGTCGTAAAATCCACTTTTACTTTTAAATGTTTAGTATTTGCATTTTTTGACACCACTATACTTGTGTGATGTTACTGTCACTCACCGGAATCCATCAAGTTGACATTAATGCCTCCGCTGCATATTATTAAAGACCAGGATATTGACATTAATAACAGGTATTATTGATTTAAATTTTCATGAATAAAGTATCAGTGTTTAATAGACTTACTCGCAGGAGTCATCGCAGCAACTTTCTCTCTCAGTAGGTGAACAACAACCCATATTTAGCCCCTTAACACAAATACAAACTGCGGAATGGTATTATCTAAAAAGTTGCTAGGATACGGTAATTATTATCTACTAAGATTTACCTGCGGCTTCGCTCGTATTGATGTCCTAAATACCTGTCAAGGACCATCAACGACTACTCATTCTATCCCTCGGGAACAGTAATTTTTCTGCACCTGATGACAAAATTTCATGATGATCGGTTCAATAGTCAAGGCGTGAAATTATACATTGTTATCAAGTGGACTTCTGTACACATTTAGTTTTGCATGGAATTTTTGCCACAACGTTTTTTGACTTTCCCGTTTTTGGGCCTTTATCAAAACTGTAAAATTGAAACGACTTCAACAATACATGTCAACGATCATCAACGACTATTTATTCTATCCCTCGGGAACAGTAATTCTTCTGCACCTGATGACAAAATTTCATGATGATCGGTTCAATAGTCAAGGTGTGAAATTATACATAGTTATCAAGTGGACTTCTGTACACATTTAGTTTTGCATGGAATTTTTGCCACATCGTTTTTTGACTTCCCGGTTTTGGGCCTTCATCAAAACTGCAAGATTGAAACTACTTGAACAAATTGACAGAATGAGAACTTACTTAGAGTTTACTGGATAGAACATATGACTTAAGACTATTCGCAAAATCTTCTATAATAAAATCCAGTGCTCTGATTCAGTGGTAGAAATTACCACTAGGCTAAATTGCACTAACAAAATAAGTGTCATGCTGCATTAATTTTGACAGCTTCAAAAAAATATCAACTTAGTTAAATGTAATTATTATTATTTGTTTATTTAAAATTCCTTAACTGCTCAACTTGTCTTAACTTAATTTTTTGAATAATTAATTAATTTATTTATAACTCAAGATGGAAGGAGCAATAAAAATACGAATAGCTTTTACTAAAAAGAAGTCACTCCTATGCTCGTTTAAAGTTTGGAAAAAATTGTTGAAGGTATGTGTTTAAAGCACGGCTCTGTAAGAGTGTGAAACATGGTCGGGGTGCACGGCGGAAAAAAACTGTTAGAAGCGTTCGAAATGTGGTGTTACAGGCGAATGATGAGGATACCGTGGATAGAGAAGGTTAGAAATGAAGAGGTATTAAAAAGAATAGGCGAACAGAGGACTCCATGGAAGTCAATATGAAAGCAAGGTCTAGTCAGAGACATATTAGAGGCAGACACGGAAGTTACGAGGGGTAGAGGAGGACCTAGATTAGACTACTGTTCGCAAATAGTTAAAGATGTGGAATATTCTAGTTTTAAGGAAATGTGAAGATTAGCTCAGGATAGAAAAGAGTGGAAGTTTAGTATCTGTTTAAGAATAATAGTTGCATTGCCACTAAATTCTTCGTTCATAGATTTTTAACGTCTTATACCTGCACTAATATTCTTTTTTTTAATTTTTAATAAACAGTGAATTGTAGTTGATAGACATTTTTGATTAGGTAATATTTATATTTGAAAGATTGTTTAAGTGTTGTTTACTGAGTTATCAACAAGGATTTTGCCGTAGTACTGTGTATGCACCCGGTAGAACGCATCGTAGAAATTTCTTTCGGAGACTTCAACGATGCGTCAAGCGAGTAACCTGATTGTGAAGCATTTTTATCCTAAAGTATGAGCAGCCTTTCTTGTTGCCATGTTATGAGTGAAAGCTAACTTCAGTATTGAAAAGCTTGATTCAGAAAATATCTGCTTTAGACGCCTATTTGAAGATAAATAAATAGATAAATTTATATGTACTAAGTTTCGTAATTGTATACCGTATGTATTTGCAAACTGAAAAGTAACAATGAGATACAAAGTAGGTTTCACTTACAGAATAAGTGAAAAAGTCCTTTATTGTCTTTTTAATTTTGATTTTTGTACGTAAATTGTTAGGTCTATGTAATTATGACATTATAGAAATCAAAATAAAAATGCGTTTTTCAATTTGAAGTCATTGTAAAACGTTTAATTTTACTTTCCTTTTTGAAGGTTATTTGAGTTAAAATTAAAAATTGGTTGGTTTGTAAGGGATGTACAAGTAGCATTAGAGCAAATATAAAATTAGGAGATAAAAAAATAGAAGTTGCCAGTTTTAAATATTAGGTAGTAAGATAATCCAGGATAGAAAAAGCGTAAGAGATATAAAACAAAGAAAAACCAGGGTCGTGTCGTTTTTAACAAAAAGAGAGATCACTTTTGCGCTGGCGGTGAGTTAATTTGGATAATTTAGAATAATTACACAGCCATACAAAAAAAAATCGAAAAAAAAAAAATAAAAAACAATGCATACTCCACGTTTTTGGGGCAGCTGCATCTAAATCCGCAGTTAATTTAATTCCAGCACGTTAGATGGTCAGACAGAATCTCAAAAAACACTCCAAAATCTTCTAGAACCGTTAATCATGATAATCCCTAATGATAAACTTCATAATCCTTGAAATTCCTAACAATAGAACCTAATGACCCTATAACCCTGTATCACCGTAATCAAAATACTGAAACAGTATCATCCAATTTCTCACCGTGAAGCTATTCGTGGTGTAGATTTCTCAAAATTAAAACAATATTCTGATGGATATTAAATATTAATGTATACCGCGAGGAGGTAACTTCAATTGTATGAAATCTACGTTACAAACAGTTTCATGGCGACAGATTAGGCAATAGTGTTTCAATATTTAGATAATAGGGATATAGGGTAATGGGATTATATTGTTTCATGCTTACGGGTTTAAAAGATTATGAAGTTCTATATTTAGTGGAAGAGTTGCTTGGCAACGGGTTTTAAGTTTAAGTAAAATCGTTTGAATTAGCATAGTTAACGATTTTAATTTGTTTTTTGAGGTTATGACCAAACCTTGACGTCCTGGAATTCAATTGACTTCAGATTTGATTTTTGTTTTGTATGGCTGTACTACCGTTCCCAGTTTCTCAATTAGTTAGAGATATAATAAAATAATTCGAAGTGGTCTGTATTCTGTCGAAACTTTCGATCTTTTTGGATCTCATCAGCGCGTCGCAGGCAGCTCCGACAGAACTCAGACCAACCTTTACCTGCTGTCTTAACAGCGCGTTTTAGATAATACCACAAATGGCGTGGTGAGCGCCATCTGTAGTACGATGCTACATTTTAGGATTACGTATGCTCCAGCAAGGTCCATTTAAAAATATGGATATCTACTTGCTGAAACGAATTCCGGCGTAGCTAACCTCAACGTGATAGGCACGTTACCATAATCGAATAAAATAATTCGAAGTGGTCTGTATTCTGTCGAAACTGCCAGACGCGGATCGCGATTTCGATCTTTTTGGATCTCATCAGCGCGTCGCAGGCAGCTCCGACAGAACACAGACCAACTTTTACCTGCTGTCTTAACAGTGCGTTTTAGAAAATACTACAAATGGCGCAGTAAACGCCATCTGTAGCACGATGCTACATTTTAGGATTACGTATGCTCCAACAAGGTCCACTTGTGTGGATATCTACTTGCTGAAAACGAATCCCGGCGTAGCCAACCTCAACGTGATAGGCACGTTAGCTTAATCGAATAAAATAATTCGAAGTGGTCTGTATTCTGTCGAAACTGCCAGACGCGGATCGCGATTTCGATCTTTTTGGATCTCATCAGCGCGTCGCAGGCAGCTCCGACAGAACACAGACCAACTTTTACCTGCTGCCTTAACAGCGCGTTTTAGAAAATACGACAAATGGCGTTGTAAACGCCATCTGTAGTACAGTGCTACATTTTAGGATTACGTATGCTTCAACAAGGTCCATTTAAATATATGGATATCTACTTTGTCGTATTTTCTAGTTAGAGATGTAGGTTGCATGGAAAGATGGGTTTAAGATAGGAAGAGGTGCGTGTCCGACCATTCGTCGAGATGAACTCTTTATTATGGTGATGATTTGATGAAACATGAGGCATAATTTCTAAAAGACTGCAGAATTATTCGGAGCCAAAAGACGATTCTTTTGGATGCCTAACAAAAGTGATTTTGACTATTGATTACATCATTCAAAAAGTTGCTACTAAACTCATTGACAATGGCCCTGTTTTAAAAGTTACAAAATACACAAACGTTTACATATTTGCTTATAATTTCCTTAACTACAGTATCATCTTTCATCATTTAAATTTCTGCATAATTTCACGTAATAATAAGGCTCTATCGTTACCCATAAACTTAGATTTCGTAAGAAAAATGCGTGTTTATCAGATGACTAAGGAGAATTGAGTATAATATTTGAGTTGCGCTTATGTAACGGCTCAAAGCAGATATGAATTGTCATTACATCCTCGTCTATCTTCTAAAACATTTAAAAGAAGTTATATGACAATAAATATTGTAGGTAAATATAAAACCCAATTGGTAAGAGTATTAGTTAGAATATAGAGAACGCTCCACAAAAAGGGTAAAACGCCATAAGCTGGGTGAAGGTTTGAAACGGGCTCAATATATGACCCATGGTGGTGCACTAGGTATGCCAAAATATTTTGAAAATCGATGGTACAATTTTGTGTAATGTTGGAAAATGTCATTTTTCTTATCGTTTGACTTTTGACCATTTGGATGACCATCCACCAATACTTTTTAACCAAGCTTTCTGAGTAAATGTAAATTAATATGTATAAACCCAGCCTTCACCAGGGGAATATATGTACCAACACCAGAATGGTCTCTAGCGGTGCCAAAATTTGAAAAAACTTCAACATAAAAAGCGAGTGGAATCGAATACACCACAATAGACATGGAAACTATGTTTCATGTCACACAATTAATGCGGGAGCGAATAATTTTGAAATTTCTCAAAATATTTAAATGAAGATCTATGCTTTCAAGTACTTTGAATGAAAATATAATGTTTTCAATTCTGGTACTCGATTATTTATCACTATGACAGGCATTTACATGACAATTATTCTGAAAATCACTTATTAGGGAATAAAATATTATATTTAAATAAATAGAATAGGAGATTCACCCCAATTACCACTAACACAATTTTATTGAGGGGACACGTCTTCGCTCAGTAAAATTGTGTGTGGTAATTGGGGTGCGTCCCCTATTTTATTTATTTATTAATTTACCACAGTCTCCCTGTTTCTATTTTTATTACATT